AGGTGCTTATTTTTTTCCCTAAAATGTGCTTGAAAAGTGTTTATAGGTGCTTATTTTTTTAACTGAAATGTGGCTAGGAACCCTGTATTTAGTTTTATAAAAACTATACACAAAGATAGCTACTTTTAGCGAAATTCAACTCTCTATGATAGACACCATGTCATTACAAATGCTGTCTTTTTTCTATTCTATATCCCCAAAATATGATCATTATTCCTTAACCCCCTCAAAACATGACCCTTCTCCCCTAAAAATATAATACTTGGCCCATTTTTAACTATGAAGAAAGAATCAATTAAATAATCATCAAGGTCGTCTTTTTATTTATATCATTCTTATTAATTGTGAAATGTTTAAAATTTTCTTGTTCATTATTACTCAGTTGATCTAAACATTACTTCACAAAAATGTGACTGTAAAGTAATTTTCTAGCAAATCAGATGGTGCTGTTAAAATGTATAAGATTAAAAGTTTGAATCAAAATGTCTGCATTTTGCGTATGTAGTAAAATGTAAATAAGATCAGGTTATGCAGTTAATTAATATTTAAAAAGAGATAAATGTCTTATTTTGTACTGTTTTTGATTGAATACTTTTTATATATATTAATAAGAAATATAATGTAAAAATGCAATTTTGCCTTTCTTATTTATGTCCCAAGCCCATCAGCAGCCGGGTAGTAAAGTCGTTCAACTGTGGTAGCTCGATCCAGGGTTCGAATCCCACTGAACGGGCTGGCTGCTTGAGCGTTTTCATAGTTTCTTCATGTGTAGCATGTATATGAGCCAGTTTCCCTTAGGAAGTCCTCTACAAAGGCATCCCTCCCCTTAGATAGATAACCTCGTGTGCTTTACCATAATGAACTAAACCAAACTTATTATGTCCATCCTCTCCATTCCTGATGTGTTAAAAAATTCTCAAACTTCACCCAAAAAAATGACAGTATTTTAAGTTAAGATAGGGAACAATATCCTTCCTATTATTGATACAGGTAGTCAAGTTAATGCAGTTTCTGAAAATATTTTAAGATAATAATTTTGAAATCTTTGAAATTGTTTTTATCTGGACGTATTTCTGTCACTAAATTAATTAAATTGTCTTGTGAAGTTGGAAGAAGAAGTAGAAATGTGATAATTTATGGTGTTAATTCTCATTTGAATTATTTATTATTATCTTCATGTCATGTTCTCTCATTTAAACTGCAGTTGAACTTTATTAAATACGACATGCATCAATTTAAGAGAAATATAAGTAAGGATGTATGTTTAAATAATCCTCCTAAGAATAATTTCTTGTATATATGCAAAAATACTGAAAATAAAAAAAAGATTATGCTAATCATGTTGCAAATAATGAGTGTGAGAATGCATTTGTGAATTATCAGTTGCAAGAATTATTAAATAAATGTAGTCACAGGTATGCAAAACATAAATATGATGTAGGTTATATCCAGCCTTTAGAACTTTATGCATTGCGAAACTTATTAACCTGCATTAAAATGTTAAAAATGATGAGGAAAAAATATATTATTAATTTTTCCCCCATTTTTTCCTACTAGTTCTTCATCCGGGCTTCCAAAGAATAAGCATCAGAAACTTTCACAGAGGAAACCACCAGTATGTGTAGAGGATGTACTGGATGCTATTCAGGTAATATAGCTTGTATTCTAATGGAGAAGTACTGAATCAAACTTCATATTTTTGCATTTGAAATAGATACTAGCTTAGCTAAATCTCTCTGTTACTGTTATTGCTGAGCAGAATCAGTGTATTAAACCATTATTTGCCAAAGTTGCATGTGTGCAACACCTCATATACTGATAACTAAATAAAAAACATACTGCATTATCTTTCATAATTTAGGAGGTTTAACATGTGTAATACAGCACAGAGTCTGAAACCCAGGCAATGAATTTCTGGAATGATTATTATCTGAACCTCTTCATGATATTTTTTTTTTCTTTCCTCTTTTCTGAGAAATTTTCTTTTCCTCAAACAGTTTAACAATTTTAAAATGGAGAATGTGATAGGAAAGTATGCGGTAAATAAATTTTTTTCTCAATTGGCTGAGTTTCCTCTCCCTCCAAGAAGCATCATTATCCGCAGCAGTACTGAATCCGCCTGCATATTGTTCCAGCTTTTAAACACTTGCTGACTATTAAGTCAGATTTTTCTTTTTGGTTCTTGAATGATTGTAGGGGGTCATCTTTTTTCTATTTTCTTTAAATCTGTATACAATGTCGAAGATCAGTGTTTGTGTGGAGTGGCATGTTGCACTCACTAGTCTCTGTTTGTTGGCATAGCAGATGAGAAGAAAGAATTAAATTCTGATTAACTAGCTCAGACAGCATTGCAGATGTGCGTTTCTTTAATTTTATGATTTGATATCTAGCTTATTATTTTGTTCAGTTCACTGTTGTTATTGTTTCCTATCAAAATTAATATTTAGTAAATGGCATCCACCATTTTAGGTCTTTCTTGAAGTTGTATATCCATCATTCAATCAATGGGTGGTGATATTTTTCTATATTGACAAGCAGATATAAAAAGGTTCATATATGGTCTTTAAGAATCCTTAGGTTTTTTTTTTTTTTTTTTTTTAAATGACTTTTGGTCCTTAAAAAGTTTCAGTTTTGCCCAAAACATACAAGCTGGCCTTAATATCGCTTATCTTACATTTCTGTGTCTTTTTCTAGAACTGCCATTTTCAGTATGAATAAACATTTTAGATGAATTTAGAATTTAAACTATGTAGATGACAGTGGAGCTATCACAAATTACCGTTGTAAGCAAAAAGAAATGTTTTGCCATCCCAAAATGGAATTTTCGGGTCATCGGATTGGCTGTTCATTCAACCATTCAGCATGGATGTTTTCAACAAGAATACTGTCTATTTGCATTGAAAATTTTTTTTTCTTGGTCTTAGATTTTGACCTTAGGCCTGTGAAGTGCTAGGGAGAAAGCAATAAACAAGGTTTTGAAAGAATGAGAAGATTTCATTTGTCATTTTATTAGTAATATTGAACTGGGCAGTAGCAGGACTTGAACAAAGGAAATTTGTAACTAAAGGAGAAATTACATATTTGCATGAAATTAGAGAAAGTATTAAATCAAAAACTAAAATTGCTTAAACAACTTTTGTTGAAAGAAATACATAATAAAGCAAAAAATGATAAAATTGAGCCTTTTATTTTTAGCCCAAAAAGAGCTATTATGTGTTCGAAATAGGATTTTGCATTGATTCACAATAAATGGCATATTACTTCTCAAATTGTTACCACCATATATTATCTCCTTCTGTTATTTTTAAAGATATCAAATAATGAAGAATCTGAAGTATGTATATTTGTTCTTCACATTGTAAAAAAAGGATGGTACCTGGAGCCATCAAATTTTGAGTAACATAGTCCTTCATCTAAACATGTGCACTTGGAAGTCTGAATTTTGAATTTCAAATTTGTTTTGTACTGTTATTTTCTTTTTCTTTTGAAGTTTTGGTTTCTTTAAAGTTATAAGTGTTTTAGTATTTGACAAGCAAATAATTATATTTATGAATTTCTTTCATAATATTTTACAAACTAGCATTTTATATTGTTAAGTTTGTAATTTCTGCTTGTCATCTTACAAGATTTAAGTGAATGATTTAAAAATCTGAAAATTTCTGGGATCTAGGGTTTCAGACTTTGTACTGGAATTATATGTGTAAAATTTTTAGCTTGATATTTTATTTATATATTTCAATGTGAAATATGTATAAAATATTGATAATTTAAATGTATTAATTATTAATAAAGCTTCTTTTTTCTTACATATCTAGATGGCAGCTTATTTTTTAAATATTATAATGTATGAGTTGTATATTTTTAACTGTGATTGATTTTATTCACTGTGTTGTATATCATTCATAATAATTCATAATTCATAATTCAGTTTTCATTGTTTTTAATGATAGTTTAATCTACTGTATTCATACAGCTTAGATTGAAAAGCTTTACAAGGACAAAAAATAAGCATTATAAACCATCTTTTGCATACTTTTCAAATTTCTTTCATGTGATTTTCCCTTCTTGAATAATGGAATCCCAAATTATCTATATTTAAAAATAGGAAAAAGTGCTCTTTATATGTATTAGAAAAAAAAAAAAAAAAAAAAAAAAAAAAAAAAAAAAAAAAAACTTTCTCCTTTAATTTTTCACTACTAAGTAACATGAGACAATATTACTGCCCTACACAATTTTTGCTAAGATAGGAAAATATTTTTTTGTGGGGGGGGGAAGGAAAATTTTCTTATTATAATAATTGCTTTCAATCCTTTGCAACTCAAGCACAGGAATTTTCAATCAACATTTATGCAATTGCACATTCATGTATAGAATTTTAGTATGCCACTTGTTAAAGAATAGTAAATATTTTCCTATTTAGTAATTTTGTTCTGCAATTGCACAAAATGTTGGATTTCATACTTTTAAAAACATATTGGTGAAACCATTTTCATAAAGTTCTGTACCATATTTTAAAAACTTTCTAAATCTTCATTTAGCTTTAATATTTAAGGAAGCAGGTCATATAATCATCTTTTTTAAGTACATTGCTGTTCCTGTTTTTGACTCTAAAAAATATTCATTTGACATTTTAAAAAAATTATTAACTTCCACTAACCTATACATAGATAAGGGAAGTAATTTTTTCGGTCCAAAAATTCACTTGTGAGTTTTCAGTAAATAAGAATGAATTAGGATTGCCACAATACATTTTTAGTGCTTTTAAAGCTATGTCTGTCTGACTGTGTAGGTGTGTATGTGGGTGACGATTTTTTCTGTCTGACTGTGTAGGTGTGTATGTGGGTGACGATTTTTTCTATCTCCAATTAACTGTTTTATGAAACTTCCAAGAATTTCCATTTTCTATATTTAAGCTTTCTACATTCATATAAAGAGTTGATTAAATTTGAGTTAAAAATGGACAAGAAGAAGTAGTTTTTTTACATGAAGCCCATAACAGTTTTTAATGGGCAAATGGAAGTGGTGTTTTACTTTTGGAACCCATAACAGATTTTAATCCTTTCATGATGGGCACCTCAATCACTGAGCCTCTCTGTTAGCATAGTGCATTAACAGTATGCAGTGTTTTGAGGGATGAGCAATTTGTTCTGCTAAATCCCAATAAGCAAAAGTTTTGGAAAAAAGTTGCATAAATTAAATTTGCGGTTTTATTTGGGGCACATTATAAAAAGAATATTCAGAGAGTTGTCAGAATCAGTATAAAAACTTTATCATTATATTTTCCTTGCCATTTGAAGTATAAAAAATAATTTGCTTAGTGAGAGACAAAATATTCATCATTAGCCACATTCTAAGAGAAGTGAATAAAACCTCTAAAACAATAGCACATATATCCCCGTTGTTCGAGAATAAACATATAAGTACTCAGGAAACACAAACACCAAGATTTAATGGACTGTAGCTTTATTTCGTTTAACTTCTGTTTGGATGGACACTCTTGCCATCGCATAGGTGCACCTCTCAGCATGCAATCAATCACACTAATAATGGCCGCTAGCTAACCATGTTGTTGTTTTCTCCCATCGTGGTTGCCAGATCACTTCTGCCTTAACATACCGCCCGGGTTGGGCATTTGTTACATAGTTAACAATGACCAAAATTAAACAGTTTTAAATCACCATATAGTCCAATCACAAAATTTAAATTGATACACATGAACAAAAGTAGTAAACATAATTAACCACAGAACATGAAATGCACAACATCTAAATTAAAATACAATGCATATATATAACAATTTTTTGAACTCAGGAAATATACATGAAATTATGTCATATCTACTGGTAGTACAGCTAATTTAGTTATTGGTCTTTTTAAAAAACCTGATTTGGTTTTTACAATACGAACTCTAACCTTTTTATCCTTACCATAAATTACCTCTTCTATTTTACCCAGTAACCAAGTCGAAGTGGGCATGTTGTCTTCCTTTACTAAAACTATAGTGCCCTTTTTAACGTTATCCTTAGAGAAATACCACTTAAATCGTTGCTGTAAATGACTGATGTAATCATTTTGCCATCTTTTCCACAAATATTGCGTTACTTTAGTAGTGCGCTGCCAGCGCTTTAAAGAAACTATCAGAAAAATCAGTTAAATCAGGCTCTGTTATTGATGTTAAAGGTCGCCCCGACTAGAAAGTGTGCGGGTGTAAGAGCTTCTAAATCATTGGTGTCATTTGACAAAGGGGATATTGGACGTGAATTTAAAATTCCTTCAATCTGGTTCAAAATTGTAAGAAAACTCCTCAAATGTAAAAATCAATCTCCCAACTGCACGCTTAAGATAAAACTTAAACGACTTAACACCTGCCTCCCAGATACCTCCAAAGTGAGGAGCCCTGGGAGGGATAAACTTCCAATGAATTCTTTCAGATGTCAGATATTTGGTTAAGAATTCATCAGGGTATTTCAACAAATTGTAGAGTCGCTTCAATTCATTGCTAGCCCCAACAAAATTTCGAGCGTTATCGCTAAATAAGGTTGCGCATTTACCCCTTCTAGAAATAAATCGCTTCAAAGCAGCAATAAATGATTCTGTAGACAAATTTAAAAACGATCTCGAGGTGGACTGCACGAGTCAAGAGGCAAA